CCCCCCCCACTGAACCTACATCCCCTCCCATCTCATCACCAATGAACCATCAGATTTCTCTTCCCCTCTCCCTTCTCACCTCTCCCTTCTCCCTTCTTCTCCGCTCACCTCCTCTCCCCCCTCTCCCTTCTACCCCTCCCCCACCCACTTTCTCCCAGTCTCCCTCCTCGCCTCTCTCCCTCCCCTCTGCTCCTCCCTTCTCCTTGTTCCTCTCCATCTATCCCATCTCTCCTCTCCCTTCACCCCTCCCCTGTCTCTCCCTTCTCCCTTCTCCCCCTCCCCTCCTCTTCTCACTCCTCCCTTCTCTCCCTCTCCCTTCTGCCCCTCTCTGGTTCCATTCTCCCCTCAACCCCTCCCTTCCCTCCTCCTTCCCTCCCTCACCCCCTCCCCCCAGGTTCTCCCCTCTCTCCTTTCCTCCCTCCGCTGCCGACCCTCCTCCCTCTCCCAATTGCAAACATTAAAGCCTTGTGCTAAAAACCTTGTAAAGATAAAGCCAACATGAAATGTATTAATCAATTTAATCTCGGTTGTGGGGAGCGGGGCTGGCACATTCAGAAACAATAGCTGGGGACAGAATCGATTAGAGAACCACATATCTACTACAGTGCAGAAATAAGCCAATTGGCCCATCATGTCAGTGATGGCTCTCTGAATGACAATATCTCTTCATGCCATTCTACCACTGTCTCGTGGAAGTCTTGTGAGGTACACAGTGTTGAATTTTGAAAAGATACAGCCAAGTTGGGAGGGAATGGGCAGACACAATGGCAGGTGAGATAAATGGCAGATGAAGCTGAATGCAGAGAGAAGTCGCGAGCAATTCATTTCAGTGGGATCAATACAGAGAGATAATCGAACCTAAAGGGTCCGATTGGAAAGGTGAGGGCGGGAGCAGGAGAACCCAGGGGAATGGGATCAATTTGATCAATGTGGCATGACAGGTTCAGAGGGCAGTTACTACAACATGTGGCAGCTTGGATTTATTACGAGGGAGAAAGGGTACAATAGTAAAGTTGGTTCTGTTAAAAATGTATTCATCATTAGAGTGTTGTGTCTGGGTCCCACACTTTAGTGATAATCTGAAGGCAGCGCAGAGAGCCAGAGAGAGAGAGACAGGGTGGTTAGGGTCTGGAACGTACTGTCTGAGAGCGTGGGGGGAGGCAGGTTCACTCGAGTGGTTAGGGTCTGGGATACACTGTCTGAGAGTGTGGGGGAGGCAGGTTCACTCAGGGAGTGGTTAGGGTCTGGGATACACTGTCTGAGAATGTGGGGGAGACAGGTTCACTTGAGGCTTTCAAGTGGAAATTGGAAAATTATGTGAATGGGAAGAATTCTGCAGGGGCATAGGGAAAAGGTGGGGACTGGGATTAGGTGAATTGGTCCTGCAGAGAGGTGGCATTGATATGAAGGGCTAATTGGTATCCTATTGTGAGGTAAAAGATGACGTTGAATTCCACGAACCGCGTCCTATTTTATTTCCATCACCACTCTATTTCCTGTCTCCTGTGTTGTGCTCATTGACCAACAGATATCAGGGTTTCACTGACAAAGATAGTGTGTCTAGTGTGAATGGGCTACTAAGATAACGCCAAAAGTCTGCCTCTTTCAATTTATATTATTGAAGTTAGTAGCTGACCGCTGTTCCCTTCCCTGTCTAGCTGCTCTATGATACAGAAATACATTTAGAAATTTACCTCGAGCAACTGACTGTTGACCAGGGAGACCATAATGTCCCGTGTAGCCCCTGTTGGCACGGGGGCAATGTATGTTGGTAGGGCCTGTGGGCACTGGCTGAAGCTCTGTAATGGAGAGGGGGACAGAGTTAAATTGTGCACATCAATATACTTCATACAGAGCCAGCTCCCAGCTCCAGATTGCTAGGAAATCACCTCAATCTGGTCAGGCTCCTGATCACTTTCCAGCAATCTCTGGATTAGGGAGAGAGAGGAAATCAGCCTGGATTCCTGCTCCTGTTCACTGATTGCAGCTGTGCACACTGCGGCCTGTAACTCCCACACAGTCACACATCTGGAATCACACACTCTGTAGCCTGTATCGCTGTCCAAAACACACACTCCCAGCATACCTCCATTTCAGAATCTCTTACACACACACACACACGCACGGACACACACGCACACGCATACGAAACACATACACACGTGCACATACACTCACACGTACACACGCACACACAAACACACGCGTACACACACACACACATGGACAGACACACACACACCCTGTAGACTGTAACCCTGCAGTTCAGAGACAATCCCATGTCAATCTTCTGGAGTGAGTTGATTGTTTATGCAGGTCATGGTGAAGGTTGTATGGAGGATTAATCCTGTCCTGGCCTTACCTGGGGTAGTGTATTCAGTGAAACCCCATTACAGTGCGCTCTGTCTGACACACACCGGTGCTCAGTCACACACCAGGAACAGGCCCATTTGGTCTGGAGACAGCTTCTGCACCTGAAACAGAAACAGTCGCTGAGTCAGAACAGCCAAAACTGTGAGCTCGGCTGTGCAGCAAACAACAGGAACCGACCCCTGGGACTGCAAGCCCCCTCCTTCCATCCCTCACCCACTTTCAGTCTAACTGCCATAGACTCCCTGCAGAGATTTAAAATGCACCCCCTCCAGCACAATTACTGCCTTCATGCATCAGCACCCCTATCCCACACTTCCCCCCTCCCTCTAAAAAGACACTCACAAACAACATCCAGTACAGTCACCCATGTGTTTTCCGATGCAGTCACAGAGTGAGAGAGGCGGTGGGGAGACAGGGAATGGAGACGAGGGAATGGGAAGGGGAAGGGGAAGGGGATGGGGAATGGGAGGGAGGAAGGGATGGGAAGGGGGGCGCTGGGGTCAGGGAATAGCAAATAAGGAGGGGTAAAGGGGCCAAGGACAGGGAATGGGGAATGGGGAGAGGAAAAGGGACAAGGAATGGGGAATGGGGAAGGGAATGTGTAGGAGGAATGGGGACTGGGAATAGGGAGAGGGAATGTGGACAGGGAGTAGAGAATGGGGAATGGGGAGGGTGAACGAGGAGGGGAAAATGGACGGGGAGTGTGGAATGGGGATGGGGACAGGGAATGTGGATGGGGACAGGGATGGGGAATGGGGACAGTGAATGCAGAATGGAAATGGGGAGTGGGGATGGGCAAGGGGACAGGGAATGGGGATGGGGAATGGGATGGGGAATGGGGAAGGGGGTGATGTGGAATGGAAAATAGCAGAGGGAGAAGAACAGGGAGCAGGTCATGAGCACAGACAAGCGAACTCCCGACATTGCCCTGAGTGTCCCAACTCCCTAACTACTGACAGACTGAGCTCCATTGAAAATCCATATGTAACATGTTTTGCTCTGACAAGCAGCAATTCCCAGTCATTTCCAATTATCTGGAGGACTCCAGCTCTTTCCCCTTGCAGTGGGCAGTGTCTGTATAAAGGTAGTTTCATATATGCCCCATTCTGCCACTAGCCCAGCGCTCAAATACTCTCCACTTGGGTTTTATTTTTACCTGAACATTTATCAGGAGAAATTCAATCGAGGTGCTGAAACACTCCTACTCAATATTATACAATTAGACATGATATTTTTTTAAATTTTTCTCAGGCATGTGTGGTTCACAGATTCATTTTTATCTGATTAAATAGCCCTTTGGTAATCCAAATATCCCCGTTTGAAGGCCAACATTCAGTTGTGACTGTGGTTGCTAGCAATCTGAAAGTTCAGAACGTCACTCTAAAGAGCTGTTTTCCCAACAGCACAGTGTGAAGTTTAACTTGCCTTCTGAACAATTTGCAGGCATGGGGTTTCAGACCCTCATTTTAAAAATAAATTGCGACTTGGTTTTGGAACAAAAATGACTTGGTTATAACTTTAGGCGTCACTTGATGAAGTTCATATGTCTCAAGCAGCTCTATAATTCCACCCCCCACCCCCCACCACCACGACTGTCCCAGGAGAATGGACACCATTTGCCAGTGGTTTTCCTCAGAGCTGATAGTGTCCTGATGATGCACTGTGAACTGTAAATTATGGACTGTCTGTACAGATGCCAGTGTTGCTGCAACAGCAGACAGCTGTGGGGTTACTCTGAGTCATGTTGAGAAAGCAGAGGGACTGTAGGCTCCGACATAAAGAACGGATTGAGCTGTACTCTCAGGCTCCACAATGTCAATGTTAGCACACAGAGTTCGCATTATCTGATTCACTCTGCACTCATTCAGTCTCCATTTCCAACAATGTACCCACCACTAATCCCAGACTCCATCCCAATCTCCAAGCCCAGTCTCCAATCCCAATCCCGGTCTCCAATCCCAATCTCCAATCCCAATCTCCAAACCCAGGCCTCCAATCCCAGTCTCTAATCTCAATTGCAGTCCCCATCTCCATCTCCAATCCCAATCTCCAATCTCAGTCTTCAATCCCAATCCCCGTGACCATCCCAATCTGCATACCCAGGCCCCCAATCCAAGTTCCCAATCCCAATTCCAGTCTCAATCCCAATTCCAGTCTCCATCCCAATCTCCAATATCAATCTCCACCCTCAGTCTCCAGTCTCCAATCCCCAGTCTCCAATCTCCATCCCAACCTCTAAGTGTGTGTGATCTGTGATCAGGTCCTCTCCCCTCTGCTGGCTCTGTAACAGAAGGCTCCTGTGTCTCTGGGCTGTGTTGACAGGATCAGTGACAGTGACTTACGCTGTTTTGGGGTAAACCTGTCCTGTTTTCTCACAATTGTAGATGGTTACATTTCCCCACATGATCGGTCGATTCAACACCTCAATCGCGACCGTCAACAGAGCATGATCTGAGTGTGAGATAACTGCTGTTAGTCGTGGACTTTGTGATGTACGTAGTAAATATAACAGCCAATGTCAACCATGTTTCTGCAATCTCAATATTACATGAAATAGCAAGGTTCTCTGTGGACTGTAAAATGCATTGTAAATTGCCTGAAATGTCCTTTTAAGACCAACGTTGGGAGGTCGGGATGTGTATTAAGAAATGGTTTCTTGTTTATGTCGTCATTAGGTGCCATGTGACCTGAGATTGCCATGATAATGGGCAGGTAGGAAGGAAAAGACAAACAGAAAGCTCACTGTCGTGCAGTTGGGTCAGGAGCTGTATGTTGGTGGCCGTTTCAGAGCACACTTGAGAGTTTGAGGGAACAAGCAAATGGAACAATGACAGGTCGGCCTGTCTTTGACTAGATCCACTGGAGCTGAAGCAGCTCGATGAGAACACAGCAGAGGTGGTGTTACGGGGTGTGTTATCCAGTTAGAGAGAGCTAATGACAGAAACAAGTGAGGAATTATGGACTAAACAAGACCCACTGCTATTATTCCAGCATTTCTAGAACATTTAAAGGGTGTTATCCGGAAATAGCCAGTACCCAGTCACCTGAAACATGTGAATTAGCCAGTGCCCAGTGAAGTGAACCCTGTGAATTAGCCAG